GGCTTCTTCCTGCTTTCCCTTTCGCCTCCCTGCATTGTGCCTACATATGCAAATTAACCACCATCTTTGTTGTCAGTTAACTGCCATCTGAGTTGGCAGTTAATTTGCATATAGCCCTGATTAGCCAATGAAAAGGGTAGCGTCGTACGCCAATTACCATTTTTCTCTTTTATTAGTGTAGATTTCTAATTTTGTAATATGTACTCATCTAAGCTAAGGAGAAAAAAAAACCCAAAGGAAATATATCAACATATTAACATGATTATCTCTACAATGGAATTACAATAGTTCCTGCTTATTATTTACTATTTTTTATAATATGCATTTCACTTACATTAAAAAATAGAAAAGTTATGTGTTTAAAATTTTCAAATTTATTATTAAAATCATTTTCTATATGGAATATAGTGAGTTGCTTATTAGTAGTGGTCACCATCATCTTTGTTAAACTTTTTTTTTCCTTTTTAATTCTCACCGGAGTATATGTCTTTATGGAATTTTAGAGAGAGAGAAAGGAAGAGAGAGGGGAAGGGAGAGTGGGGACTGAGGAGAGTGGGGACTCATACTAAAGTATACAAGGCAGAGAGAGAAAGAGAGAGAGAGAAACATTGACATGAGAGAGAAAATTCGATTAGTCATCGCCTATAAGCGCCCCAAATGAGGATTTACCCACAACTTGGGCATGTGTCATCACAGGGAATCAAACTTGCAACTTTTGGCGCATAGGTGAATGCTCCAACCAAGTGAGCAACCAGGCCATGGCTCTTTGTTAAACTTTGAATTTACCAACATACTAGTAATTCTAGGGCAAATATCTAATAAATGACACCACATAAATTTAATGCACAAAATAAAACTTCTTGAAATCTGCCATGATTGAGGCCATTTATAGAAGTAAAACCGTAAACAAAGAAATACAAGTATATATGTAAATATAAATATGTATATTTTAAAACCGGTAGACAGAAAAGTCAAAAATTACTTGTGCTAAGTGAAATAATCCTCCTATCTAATAAAAGAGAAACATGGTAATTAGCCGTACGACTGATACCCTTCCCATTGGTTAATCAGGGTGATATGCAAATTAACTGACAGCCAAGATGGCGGTTAACCACTAACAAAGATGGTGGTTAATTTGCATACGTAGCTGCAATGCTGGGAGGCGAAAAGGGAAGAACTGAAGAATCGTGATCAGCAAGCCAGGAGGCAGGCAAGAGCTGGGGGGTGGGCAAAGGCCGCCTTTAGCTGGTGATCGCCATTGGAAAGCCGTTTGGGGCTGCTGGCTGGCCTGCGTCCACCGATAGCCATGGCGATTGCAGGGCGAGAGGGCCGGGACGCAGGCCAGACCGCAACACCGGACTCCTGGGGCTGGCAGCTGGCCTACGGCCCCGAGATTGCCATGGTGATCAGAGGGTGGGAGGGCCCGGGAGCAGGCCAGGCAGCAACCCCGGTCTCCCCGGGGCAGGGTTGCCGGCTGGCCTGTGCCCAGCGATCACCATGGTGATCAGAGGGCGGGAGGGCCTGCTCCCTGCGATACGGGTGCTAGGAGTGCGGGAGGGCCGGGGCACAGGCCAGGCCACAACCCCGGACGTCCCGGGTGCCAGTGTTGTCGGCTGTTCTGCGGCCCTGAGATCGCCATGGTGATTGGAGGGCAGGAGGGCCCAGGAGCAGGCCAGGCAGCAACCCCGGACAAATGAAGCAGCTACTGCAGTGGGGAAAAGACGTTCATCATATTCGTTGTCTCTGAGAAAGCAAGGCAGCCAGCACAGGCCCCTGCACAGGATGAGGCTTCTGCTTCTAAAGAAACGTCCTGGGGTTAGAGGTGAGGGGGTGCTGCCTTTCCCATCTTGGAGCTCTAGGAGGAGACTGTGCTCCCCCTCCTGGTATTCTTAACACCCAGAGACCCCTCCCCAGTCTAGGCAGGAATGTTCCACACTGACCACGTCCAGAAAGCAGAGAACAAGAGGCACTTCTTGACTTCAAGCCTCTAAACCAGTGGTTCTCAACCTTGGCTGCACATTAGAATCACCTGGGAATCTTTTTAAAATCCTGATTTCTGGGTCTCATCCTCTAGAAATTCTGTTTCTTTGTTATGGGGTAGAGCCACAACATTAGTAACAAAGAAACAGAATTTCCGGAGGATGAGACCCAGAAATCAGGATTTTGAAAAGATTCCCAGGTGATTCTAATGTGCAGCCAAGGTTGAGAACCACTGCTCTAAACAGACTTGACCACTGCGGGCAAAGACCAGCAGCTGAGAGGGGGCGGGG